TCAGCTGCCTGGCAGCCGGCCGCCATCTTGGTTGGCAGTTAATTTGCATATCTCGCTGATTAGCCAATGGGAAGGGTAGCGAAGTTATGGTTAATTACCATGTTTCTCTTTTATTAGATAGGATGAATGGAACTGATCAAGAGACTCTTGTTCTCAAACTATGTAAATACTGATAGATATTATGTAATAACACATTATGTCATAACGGATTTATAATTAATTCATTTACATGATCAAATTTTTAAATTTTGTTTCTTTGATAAGACAAATTGTTATACCTTTCAATCACACTTTAATAAACTTTGGTGTTTTTTGGCTATGAATATATTGTGTCAGAAATAAAATAGGCTAATGAAATATAAAATCAAAGTTTGTTACTAAAAAAAAGTAAAAATGTGTTACAGCTTGACAAACTTTAATAGAGCCTTTCAAGAATGCTCTTAAGTTGCCATGATAGTGGCAGCAATTGAATGGCTGCCTGTCTCATAGCAGGTTGAAAGAAAAGAGAGAGATTACAGAGGAGAGGTTTCATGGTGAAGTGCAGGCTCAGTGATTTCATGTGCTACCCAGTGTATTCCATCCATCCTTACATTTTATTGTGCTGCATTTCACTCTTTTCTTTTTTTGACTTGCAGATAAATGTATTTTACTTAATTTAGCGTATATCTCCACTTGTTGTCTTATTTGATGAATGTAACAGTTTGTGTACCAGGATTCATTGCATATGTAGGCAGGTAGGCAATGGTCTTTTGAGATAGCATCTTCAGGAATATATTGTCTAAAAGTGACAGCTAAATGTACCTGGAGTTGGAAACTTTTGGTTTGGGCGTTTCTAATTTTGAACTGTGAAAAAATTTAACTCTTCTAACTTACTGTGAGATTTTTTGTGTGTGTATGTTGCTGGAAATTGTGTTGAGTGTAAAATTATCTTGAGTTGGACTTGAGTTGATTTCTTTTACAGTTTTATTCTTGCTATGATCACTCTCATCTCCAAAGAGTTTGTAGTGGAAAAAAACTAGCATTAAAACTATAGTATTAGATATTTTATATAAGTTTAATTATCTTTTGCAAGATTTCAATCTATTTCAATACTAAAGTAAGCTACCTAAGACATGAAACTTTATGAAAAAGCCAAAAGACTCTCCCTCCCCTTACTGGCACCTTAAATCTTATTAGGACTTAATCTACTTCTGAATTTATTCTGACAGTTACTTTGCTTGTAGTGAGTGTTTTTTAAAGATTAAAAACAAATTTTTATAAAGGAATGTGTTGAATTTCTGAATGAATATAGAATATTTTATTTTAACACTATTAATTCCATTCTTAATATATTTAAACAACTCATCAAATTGAGGTACTTGCTTGTACAAAGCAAATTGAAAAGTGATTTTCTATATTCTAAGAACTGCTTTTGAACTGAACTTAGGTTATATATTTAATATTAATCATTTCAGTAATAAAGTAGGTCTATCTTTATGATATATTTTATCTTTAAATAATAAAGTACCTCAAATAATAAAATAATATTAAAATCAAGTAAAAATCTATAGTTATATAAATTTTAATGGAACCTAAATATAGTCATATTTTTATTAGAAACAGAATTTAGTTATATTTTTACATAGTTATTAAAATTATTTGGTGTTAATGGACCAAGACTGGTGTGTGTGTGTGTGTGTGTGTGTGTGTGTGTGTGTTTGTGTGTGTGTGTTTTAAGATAATATGGGCCAGAAAGCTCTGGACATTTTAATAAACATAGTAAGTTGTTAAATGTATTATACTATTTTTTCAATTTTCCTAAGGTCTAGACCTTTATAAGTATATCACTTGAAATAAATATTATTTCCTAGATTACTTGAAGCATATTAAAAATTGGAAGATTGTTATTATTTTTAAGATATAACCCTAAAAATATTTAGTGTCATTTTCCATTAAAGGAGACAGAATTAAAAACCCATTAACTGTTTCTGAAGTGGAATTGCTACGTACAGAACATCTGTTACAATGTCTTTTGAAAAGTTTAGCAGTTTTACCTTATGAGATAAAAAGCAGAGTACTTTTTATCTATCAAGTAAAAAAATTCTGTGAACATCTCTTTTTAGCAATTGCTACACTTTTCAAGAGATTTTCTCGTTTTGGCTGACACAGATACTTACTTTTGACTTATCCTATATATTTAGATCCTCTACAGTTGAACTGATGTGTCTAGACAGGAAGTGGTATGTAGGAGATATAGGAATGGGCTGAAGTATCCTTTATATTTGCCTTTGTATCTAGGGGAGTTGGAAATAGGCAAGAATGGAGAGAAATTTTGTATGGCAGTACACAGAATTTTGCAAGTTTATTGTGAGCCCTGCAGCAATCCGATGCATTTTAGTTACTGGTAAGTTTGTTAAATTATGTTTGAAAATGTACCTCTTCGAAGATGGCCATCTCTTTACTATTACATCTACCATGTCAAATATATCTATTTTAAAGATTTAAAAAAGATATGGTATTGCTATTGCATTGGGTCTTAGGTATAAATGAATAATACCTTTGTTAGTGAATGAATTTGACTTTTCAATTTTTGTCATAGTTAAAATTGAAGTGAAATTAATATTATATGGGTATTATATCATGTGTTAAGATTTTGGAAAAATAAAATTAATATTTCTGGTTTTGTAATGAATCTCTAGTGTGTTTAGAAGTCTTGAGTTAATTCATTAGATGTTTGAGAAAGAGTTGTCTTTCTGACATAAAAGAATAAGAAAATCTATGGCATCCTTTTAATTTTATATGGGTCTACACAGGAGGAAGATTTATCATAAGAAATACTTTGTGCATTTTTTTATGGACCATAGGGAACATAGTGATGCTTTTCTGGTCTTTTTGGCAGTGCTGATGTTTAGGAATCCTAGTCATCTTCCTCTCTAAATCACTAACTCAGATGTAGGTTAAAATTCCATGAACAGATTAGGAAATTGTGTGATCTCTATGCAATCGCTGTCTTCATTCTTTTCAAACATGTAGGCAGAAGTACTATGTATAATAGTACTTAAGCAGTTATTTGTGAAGTGGCTTTGACTATTGATACAATTCATTTAAAATGGACTAGATTGCTTTTAATAGCTGTTCTTTTTTTACAGAAACATTTAAAAAATCCCAAGGAATTCCTTGGGAGTTGTGTTTTTCTTGTAAATATCTACCTTTGGTTTTTAGGACAGAGTAAAACAATATCATTGATTTGTAATACTAGTTTACTTGTTTTTGTGGTTTAAAGATACAGGGCCAAATAATGTAATAGAATTTTAATTTCCTGTAATTAAGTACTTTGTTTTCAAATGTACTATATATTTTTTCTAGCTGAAATCTGTTAAACGATTGATTTTTACAATAATGATAATTTTTGTTAATTATTTTTATGAGAATACTTTTCTAATTTGAACAAGTATAACCTCACTGTTAGAGAAAAGTATTATTTGTAACTTTTATTGAAATCAGAAGAGCAACCCTCAGGTAGGTCAGGTAAGTGCCCATGACGCTCAAAACCCTGAACCCTGCCGGCCAGGGCTCTCTGGATATTTTTTACAAAAGTATTTTTTTTTAAATAACTCCAGAGAATATAATAACTTTAGATTATTTAGGGGCCTTAGTAATTTTCAAGTTTTCCTCATTACCAGATTTTCTTAATTTCTTTTAGGAATGAGTACTTGTCTATTAAAATATATTTAGAAATTTGAGGCTTTACCCATGCTTGTGAATATAAATAGGGAATTTAGGGTCCTTGTAAAGCACTTTAAATAGATATTATTTTAATAGGTGGTAAAGTCTGGCTTATAGTCATTTATTGCTATAAACTATGGTAACATATAACTAGAAATACTGTCATGTATGAATGCTGCTGTTTGAAAATTGTTCTATGTAACTTTCTGAAGTAATATATTACCACAGCTTAATTAATTGCAATACTTCGTTTTTCTTTTGTTTCTTCATTCAGTTACCACATCAAGTGTTTTATTATTTGTCTGGCACATATCTTTATGTGCTTTTATGTGTTGTATATACATTGTGTTATTGTCGCTTTTCATTTTAATATTACATAAATCATTTCTTTTCTCTGCTCTCATGAACTTTCCTGAGGGCATTTAGGGACATAAGTAACATGTTTCATATGTCTCCAGATATATATTTTTTATTGACCCTTACCCAGAAGTGAGGATATTTTTTCCATTGATTTTTTTAGAGAGAGAGTGGAAGGGAGGGTGAGGGATGAGAGAGAGAGAGAGAGAGAGAGAGAGAGAGAGAGAGAAACATCAGTGTGAGAGACACATCCATTGGTTGGTTGCCTCCCACATGCACCCTGACTGAGGACAGGAGTGGGGGATGGGGGAGTGGGGATTTGGGGAGGGGTTAAACCTGCACCCCCCAGGTAGGTCAGGTAGGTGCCCATGACCAGTAGTTGAACCTGTGATCCTCTAGTGTACAAGCTGACGCTCTAACCACTGAACCCTGCTGGCCAGGGCTCTCTGGATATCTTAAAAAAAAGTAATAAAAATAGGTCTAAATGAAAGGTTTATTTAAAAAGTCAGTGTGTTCTTCCAAAACAATCTTGTATACCTATTTAAAATTCTCTAAGATAACATGTTCTTTAAAGAAATATTATGATAAAGTCTTTATTATGATGAAGTGACATTTTGGGGTGTGTTTCTTATGTTAAATTTGCTTGAAACAGGGAATACATATGTGTATAGCTAAACTTAGATGTTTTGCCTTGGAACATAAAAAAATCTACACAGTTGTTTGTTGATTTATGATATTTAATTTTAAATAGATGAAACTAGTTTTCTCATGTTTGTAAGAAATACATTATTGCGTAAATAAGGTATAATAGTCATTGTCAGCAAAACAGATTTGATTTAAACATGGTTATCTTTTGTCATAAAAATATTGAAATTGAACACTATTTATAATCAACAGTTGATGGTTATATAATGAAATTATCTGTACTTTACATGCAGTGCTACTCTTTTGGCTTTCCTGGTTGAACTGCTTAAAAGTTCGGTAGCCATGCAAGAACAGATGCTGGGTGGAAAAGGCTTTTTAGTCATTGGCTACTTACTTGAAAAGGTAAGTGATATGTAATGATGATTTTATTGTGTAGCCTTCAAAGATGGACAACTGACAATCACTAATTATAGTTTTTCTATAGTTTCCTTTTCCATTAACTGTACAGAGGCTATATTTTAGGCTAATTCATAAACATTTTTATATTATGCACCTAGATGTAAGTGTAGACATTGAACTAAATTGGGTTAGAAATTTATATAATTAAGAAATTCTGAGTGAAAATAGAAACTAAAAAAAAAATATTTCACCTGCTTTTCTTCAAAGTTATAAGTTTGTTCTTAATTCTTTTTTAATTATGGAAAACTGTTTCCTATATCTCGAGTATTGATAATTGCCTAGATTTATCTGAAATTACATTTTACATGAATGAGAATCTATAAAATGCCTTTGCCACATAACTGCACATGACACAGTAACTATCAGGAACTACCCCTTACATAAACTTGTCATTTATTTACTAATGTTTTATCAGCATAATTTTAAAGAGCTTTTTTTTTTTGTAATCCTCACCCAAGGATATTTTTCCATAGAGAGAGAGAGAGAGAGAAACATCAGTGTGAGAGACACATCCATTGGTTGGTTGCCTCCCACATGCACCCTGACTGAGGACAGGAGTGGGGGATGGGGGAGTGGGGATTTGGGGAGGGGTTAAACCTGCACCCCCCAGGTAGGTCAGGTAGGTGCCCATGACCAGTAGTTGAACCTGTGATCCTCTAGTGTACAAGCTGACGCTCTAACCACTGAACCCTGCTGGCCAGGGCTCTCTGGATATCTTAAAAAAAAGTAATAAAAATAGGTCTAAATGAAAGGTTTATTTAAAAAGTCAGTGTGTTCTTCCAAAACAATCTTGTATACCTATTTAAAATTCTCTAAGATAACATGTTCTTTAAAGAAATATTATGATAAAGTCTTTATTATGATGAAGTGACATTTTGGGGTGTGTTTCTTATGTTAAATTTGCTTGAAACAGGGAATACATATGTGTATAGCTAAACTTAGATGTTTTGCCTTGGAACATAAAAAAATCTACACAGTTGTTTGTTGATTTATGATATTTAATTTTAAATAGATGAAACTAGTTTTCTCATGTTTGTAAGAAATACATTATTGCGTAAATAAGGTATAATAGTCATTGTCAGCAAAACAGATTTGATTTAAACATGGTTATCTTTTGTCATAAAAATATTGAAATTGAACACTATTTATAATCAACAGTTGATGGTTATATAATGAAATTATCTGTACTTTACATGCAGTGCTACTCTTTTGGCTTTCCTGGTTGAACTGCTTAAAAGTTCGGTAGCCATGCAAGAACAGATGCTGGGTGGAAAAGGCTTTTTAGTCATTGGCTACTTACTTGAAAAGGTAAGTGATATGTAATGATGATTTTATTGTGTAGCCTTCAAAGATGGACAACTGACAATCACTAATTATAGTTTTTCTATAGTTTCCTTTTCCATTAACTGTACAGAGGCTATATTTTAGGCTAATTCATAAACATTTTTATATTATGCACCTAGATGTAAGTGTAGACATTGAACTAAATTGGGTTAGAAATTTATATAATTAAGAAATTCTGAGTGAAAATAGAAACTAAAAAAAAAATATTTCACCTGCTTTTCTTCAAAGTTATAAGTTTGTTCTTAATTCTTTTTTAATTATGGAAAACTGTTTCCTATATCTCGAGTATTGATAATTGCCTAGATTTATCTGAAATTACATTTTACATGAATGAGAATCTATAAAATGCCTTTGCCACATAACTGCACATGACACAGTAACTATCAGGAACTACCCCTTACATAAACTTGTCATTTATTTACTAATGTTTTATCAGCATAATTTTAAAGAGCTTTTTTTTTTGTAATCCTCACCCAAGGATATTTTTCCATTGATAATCAGAGAGAGTGGAAGAGAGAGGGAAAGACAGAGAGAAACATTGATGTGAGAGAGAGACATCGATTAGTTCCCCCTGCATGAGCCCTGACCAGGGCCCGAGCCAGGGAGGAACCTGCAACCAAGATATGTGCCCTTGACTGGAATCAAACCCGGGACCCTTCGGTCCACAGGCCTATGCTCTATTCCAGTGATGGCGAACCGCTGACACGCGAACTCATTTTTTTGGTTGATTTTTCTTTGTTAAATGGCATTTAAATATATAAAATAAATATCAAAAATATAAGTCTTTGTTTTACTATGGTTGCAAATATCAAAAAATTTCTATATGTGACACGGCACCAGAGTTAAGTTAGGGTTTTTCAAAATGCTGACACGCCGAGCTCAAAAGGTTCGCCATCACTGCTCTATACACTGAGCAAAACTGGCTAGGGCTAAAGTGAGCATTTGTTTTACACTAAAACTTAGCTTAAAATTAGAAATATTGTGAAAACACTTAAAATAAATAGACTTTAGTACTTTCTCTTTCTCGGAATTAATGCCCTTAATATTATACTGTCAATTTAGTGGGTAAAAATATTTTCTTGCCCTAACCGGTTTGGCTCAGTGGATAGAGCATCGGCCTGCAGACTCAAGGGTCCCAGGTTCGATTCCGGTCAAGGGCATGTACGTTGGCTGCGGGCACATCCCCAGTAGGGGGCATGCAAGAGGCAGCTGATCGATGTTTCTCTCTAATCGATGTTTCTAACTCTCTATCCCTCTCCCTTCCTCCCGTAAAAAAATCAATAAAATATATTTTAAAAAGAAAAGAACGTGGAGTGTAGAATGTTTCAGCCAGAATAGTAAACAATTTGACATTTTCCTCAAAATTAGACAAATACCTATCATACATTGTTTCTCCTCTGTGAAGTGCTTATTTATGCCTTTGCCAATTTTCTGTATTACCTTCAATACCCCTACTCCTAGGCGGTCTGTAATCTACTTTTTGTCTCTGTGATCTTATGTATTCTAGATATTTCTTCTAAGTGGAATCATATAGTAGTTGTCCTTTGTAAATGGCTTATTTCACTAAGCATAATATTTACAAGATTCATTGTTGTAGCATATATCAGAACTTCATTCCTTTTTATGACTTAACAATATTCCATCGTATGTATTTATTGCATTTTCTTTATCTATTCATCTGTCAATGGATATTTGTATTGTTTCTATCTTTTGGCTATTATAAATAATGCTTCCATGAATGGTCATATAAAAATTTGTGTGTAGACATATGTTTTTATTTCTCTTGGGAAGAAGAAAAATCAATTATCTTACCTATAAGTTGATTTTCAGGGTCCTATTTTATATTTATTTAAGAAATTGACAGACTGTTTTCTAACGTAGCGCTACCATTTTACATTCTTATAAGCTATTGTATTTTTTTTTATTCTAGCCATCTTAGTAGGTGTGAAATGTCATATTAGTTTTTATTTACCTTTCTTTGATATCTAATGATAAGCATCTCTTTATGTGCATGTTGCCTATTTATACATATTTTTGAGAAATGTCTATTTAGAACTTTTGCCAATTTTAAATAATTCGAGTTATGTCTTTTTTATTATTGAGTTGTAGGAGTTTTTATTCTATATACTAATTCTTAATTAGATGTATGATTTCCAAAGGTAGTGTTCCATTCTGTAGATCACTTTGTGTTATCATTTGCATTTCTCTAATAACAAATTAAGTTTAGCATCCTATATAATAAAACCCTAATATGCAAATTGACCAAATGGCAGAATGACTGGCAGAACGACCAGTCTCTATGACACGCACTGCCTCCCCGAGAGGGAGGTTATCGTCAGAGGCAATCGGGGGCATGGCCAGCCAGTGGGTGGCTCCAGGCCACCAGCCAAGGTGAGTGCCAGCAGGGGCCCCCCAATTTCTCTGCCCGCAGGTTGCCCCACAGATGGCCCTGATCGCTGGTCAGGTCTAGGGACCCTACCCTATATATATTGGGAGCAGTCTCTTAGATTTAAAAATTAAAACCTGACAAGCTTACTCTAACACTGAAAAAACAGGATGATGCAGCGATGACATGCATGGACTCTGGCTGGCACATTTTGTGGTCAGCCCTTATTCTGACACTTATAACTGTGTGACAAAGCCAATTACTCAACTTCTCTCTGCTTCAGTTTTCCACCCATAAGATGGGGAAAATGGTACAACTGCCTCAGAAGGATCATGTTATGTACTGTTTTTTATAATCAGGGCAAAAAAAAAATGTAGCTGCCATAAAACAGCAAGATGCCTTTCACCTGTATGATAAGTATGGTCACTGGTGCATGCAGCATCCTGGATTTCGAGAGGGATATCCGACTGCCAGTTTAGGCCCAACATCCCCCGAGGGGTCCTGGATTGCAAGAGGGCGCAGGCCGGGCTGAGGGACATCCCTCCCCCCCTCCCCCCCCCCGTGCATGAATTTCATGCACCAGGCCTCTAGTTTTTATATATTTATTGTCTTTTTGGTTATATTCTTTCATTAAAACCTGCAGTGTTTGCCCTTTTTCATTTGGATTGTCTATCATTTTCTTATTAAGTTGTGGAACTTCTGTATATATCCCGGATATGACTCCTTTGTTGAATATGTATTGCAAATATCTCTTCCTTTGTGGCTTGCCTTTTCACTCTCTTAATGGTATTTTTTAATGAACAAAAGTCCTTAACTTTAATATACGTAAAGTTTTCATTTTCTTTTATGATTAACCCATTTTGGATTCTTATATATGCCAAAGCCATAAGACTCAAAATTATGTTTTACTTTTCACATTTAGATTTATAGTCAACCTCCAGTTGCATTTTGTATATGGTATAAAGTATAAAGGGCAAAATTTATTTCTCTCTCTCTCTCTCTCTCTCTCTCGCCCTGTCTCTTCATGTATATATATGTAAATAAATAACTGGGTGACCATGTGTACATTAGGTCATTTCCAAAATCTTACTATTGTGTGTCTTTTTTCTTATCTTTGATCCAGTACAACATTATCTTGATACCTCATAGTGTGCCATCTAGTTTTATTGTTCTTCAAAATTGCCTTGGCTATTCTTGTGTCTCTGCATGAGCATATACATCGGCTTTT